TTTCTTTTCTTTCAAATCATTTTGTTTCTTAAAACAATCTTTTGAAAAATGACCTATTTTACCACAGTAGTAGCACTTCTTTTCCTTTTCCTTATTCTTGGATTTGTATTTATCACTGCCTCTTTTTCTGAAATCATTGGGGGGTTTTTAGATTTACCAAAACCTTTGCCTTTTATCAAAAAATTTTCTCCATTTTGATTATTAACATTTTCAGACTTAAGCTCAAGATTTCTATTTCTAAGAGCATTCTTTAAGTCTCTATATCTGTCACTAATGGAGTTTAACAGGATCACAACCAACTGTTCCTTTGAAAGTTTTTCATCACAGTTTGCAAGGTATTGGGTCAGTTTGGTAAAACTATTTAGATTTTCTTCTAAATCAACATAATGGTCCATTTTGAAAGAAAAGAATTGTTTTAGCAAAAAACATTTATTTATAACAATTTGTGGCTCATATTTGGCCTTTAATTTGGCCCAAATATCTGCTGCAGTTTCAGTCTCACAAATTGTTCTGATCACATTGTCAGAGAGGTAGAGGAAGATAGTACTCCAGGCTACTTCTTCTAATTCAGTCTTTTTAGTATCACTCAACTGTTCAGGCCAAGAACCATCCAAGGCTTTAGGACATTTCATTTGCATTAAAACATCTCTCATCTTCTGACTCCACATATTAAAATCCCCCCCTCCTATCATATTAATTTAATTCAAACTTAGTGGTAGCCATCGTATATGTCAAGAAAATAGGCACGTATGAATCAAGTTACAATCAGAGAAGCACTCGGGCAAAATATACTAAGCTGATGTGCAAATAGACAGCAATAATGCACACGAGTTTATGCATCCAAACAATGAAGAAATATTACAGAGTATAAAAGAGGAACCTAAACAGAGATTACAATTCCTAGACTTAACAAGATCCGCTAATTACACCTCAGTCCTGAGTTTATCTCAGATTCCCAAGGCGTCTTAGGAGCCTTTGGGCAAAGACAAATCGCAGAAGGGTAATTGAGAAAAGGTAAAGTAGGAATTAGAATACTACTTTAAAGAAGTATAGGAAAGATCTCACCAAACAAGTGTAATAAACTCGGATTCCTTTAGTAAAGTTCACACGGTTTGGAATAGGTTTCAGATACACAGTTTACTCATTTGTTCGGTATCAAGACTCAGCAACCCAGGCTCTGATACCACTGAAAGGTCGAACGAACAAGTATGGATTAGTCAAAAAACAAGAAACCTAATTAACAGAACATAAACATAAACATAAAGTGCAAGAATAAAGAAAATCAACACAAGAATTTTTCGGCGGTAGCCCCAGAGGTTCGGCGATCACTTCTATAGCCTAGTCCCTCATTGACCATCCATTATAAATGGATAAAGCTCTTGTTGCACTATAAAGCCAAAAACGGAAGCCAAGATACAAATATGTTCAAGATATTACAAGAACCAAGTCACAGAGACTTATTTTTAGAAAATCACACAGATTAAACTATTTTCACCTAGATCTCACTCCAAACTACATCGATCAGACACAGAAGTCTACATCTCTCAAGAATAACTCAGATTCTTATATCAGAACACTCAGTTCAACACAGTAAGCCTTCAATATGAACTATTACAGATTATACCTACTAGTATCATCAATATGACGAACCCTAAATCACGAAGAAGAAAGGGTTTCAGAAAAGAGAGAGCGTTTCAAACTCTGGAGAGAAAGAGAGAGATGATTCCAATCGTTCAGTCAAGTGAGTATATCGAGATAGAAGCTTCTAGGGCTCCATCCAACGATCACCTCTTGAGGTGCACAGTATTAGGTGTTGAAAACACCCACTCAAAGAGTTGTCAAATGAGAAACACGATTTTGCTTTAATTTTGAAAGCACACTTTTATTCACAGCCAGGTCCAGGGTTCGAACTTAACACTTTCTTACAGCTTTGTTTCTTCACTTGTTCACCATGTGAAATTCCAATTGATCGCTTTCATATGTGACGGAAAAATATCCTTATAAGATTAACATGATGAATATGTTAAATATATTGTGGCAGGTCATAGTTCGGAAATGGGATCAAGAAGAACAGCATTTTGTCAAACTCTGTGAAGAAGAGGTATGCTTTTTCATACCTTTCGTTGTTTGGGTTTCTCTACATGCTGCAAATGAGTGCAGATATGCTATGACTATAAATGCCTGTCATGATATGTGGGCCCCATAGACTAAAATTTTATGCTTCTAGCTAGAAAATTTTAGTACTTATTCATAGTACTAAAAGCTTGTTAATGCAAAGCTCTAACAACGCCTATGTGAGAACATGTTCACCTGACTTAATCAGAATTTATAAAGGAAAAGATTTGTCTCTTTAATATTTATGAGAAGCATGGGTTTTTCCCTTTATTTATATCTGTAAGGCTAGTTCTCTGGTTTTATCTCACTACAAAAATTACTCAGATAACTCATATAGTGGCTAAGTTGTGCCTGTAGACTTGAATATCAAGTGTTTTAAGCACTGAAATTATCTCATGCTAAAATGGAGCACTTATTCTTCTCCTTTTTGACCAAAGTTACCATTTATTATGAAACATTTCATTGCAATTGCATGAATGCTTGATGACTGCATCTTCATACTTCAGTGAAAAAGGACCCAGCACATTTTTGGTTGATTGCCGTAAACTATCTTGCAGATGAATTTACCAGGTCTGTAGACAGATTTTTTCCCCCCCTAATTTGTAAGTCAATATGCTACACTTTCTATCCCCTGTTTGACGAGTGTCATGTTGACTTCTTAAAATATAATTCACTATATTTCTTGGATGTAGCACTCACTTTTGGACAATCATGTTTACAATCAAAATACTTTCTCCGATTCTGTGTTTGTAATGCTTTCTAATTGGCTTTGGATACAGGAATAAAGGTACTCTGATGCGGTTAGAAGATTAGAATTTGACAAAAAATTCGCACTGTATACACTGACTCATTACAGGGAATGGAAATGCTTGTCCAATTATATCACTAGCAATACAATTGAGCTCATTGGTTAGCAATTTATTGTTATTTAATGGCATATTCGTTTTTATTGTGCTCTTGTACTATTTATTAATTTAAGTTGTTCTAGTTGATACGAGCCTAAAATTTATCCATAAGTTGTTATTGTGCTCTTGTACTATTTATTAATTTAAGTTGTTCTAGTTGATACGAGCCTAAAATTTATCCATAAGTTGTTCCATCAATCCTTTCTAACCTCAAATTTCCCATCTTACCTAATCAGAGCTGTTCATGTGGATGAGATAGTGAAGTGCCAAATATATTAAACTTAATCAATTGAATGAATGAGTTAGCAGGTCACAAAATTAACCGCTAGAAATCAATTAAATACGATAATTTCAGCATGCTATTTTTTGGCTTTTTTTTATTGTACCATCAATATCAGTGGATACTTCAGGAGCTTTTAGTGCTTATTGTTACCTGTCCTTGAGCACAAAGTTGTTTGAAACTCATCTCCATGGTGGCACCATAAGAAACCTTCGAACACTGTATTAATATATATTTTTGCAACTAGCCTGGAAAAAATGGAATTACAAATGAGGTTCATTGATAAACATAATCCTAGTTTGGGACATGGTGATATACTACTGGCATCAGAGATAATTTGGTGAAATGGTGAAAGCTTTATTTACTAGCCAAACTCCATAAACAAATTTATGAGCAGGAAAAAAGGAGTTTTTATATTTTCAATTTTCAGCATGGACATTGGATATGTATGCTCTTACATGGAGAAACAACTATAATACATCTGCATTTATGTCTCTATTTGTGGAAAGTGATTGATTTGGATTGAGAATATGCCAAATGACACATAATGGAAGTAAGCCTATGGAGAAACTAAATGCTTCTTGGTGGGTGAGCATGTTTGAGTTCACATGGTGGTGTTTTATTTATTTATTTATTTATTTTTAGGGGTTGGGGGGGGGGGGTGTTGTGGGGGTGGTGGTGTGTGCGAGTTGGCTTTTGACGCCCCCACCCACCCCCTTTTTTGAAGACCTTATAATCATAGCTTCTTTCAAAGGTTATTCAAATTAAAATCCTTTGTATGAACCCTGATTTCTGATGTTTCTTAAAGTGCTTTATGATAATAAGTTATGGCAGCTTTTTAAGATATTTGTTGTTCATTTTTTCCTTTATAATTTATAAGGATTTGATGAATTTACAGAATCTGTTGGAGGCGAAATCTCAATTGCTTGTGAATCTGAGATGGTTTAAAGTATTCCTAAAACAGCAATGGAGAAAGCTTTGATTAAACAGTTGAAAAATACCAAGTTTTCAAAGCCAATAGAAAAATCTCAAACAGGAGGTTGTTACTACACTCTTATTCCTCGTGTTGTCAAGCATAAGGGAATGCATAGTGAAGATCTTACTATTATGAACATCGACAAGGTATTTGATTCCAAGGTTTATAAGTTAAAATTGTCTGTATTTTGAGTGTTTGACAAAGATGTTAATTTAGAGATATTATGCTTATTTTTTTCAGATGCAGCTATTGGAAAGCATATTGACAACAGCATATGAAGGTGATGAAGATTCACTTCTTGGAGAGTTACAATTTACATTCGTTGCATTTCTGGTAGGAATAAGCTCTCTGTTTTTCTCATCGATAAGGACACCCATTTGTTACTATAAATGCGCAGCTGCATCCCAACATTCATATGTATATTATGGAGTCTACCTATTTATATATTTAATTTATGCACAAATTTGAAGATGGGGCAATCACCTGAAGCATTTCTACAGTAAAAGCTTTTAATTGGTCTCTTGTTGGGCTGCACAGAGGCTGAGTAAAATATATATGGATTAGATTCCTCAGTATACTTATCAAATTAAAGGGGCTAAAATCCATACTGTCCTCACTGTCAAAATGGCAATCTATTAACTAAATTAGAACATTTTTTCAACTGAAAATGCTTGTGTATATGATGATTATTCTTGTCCATCGAAAGTGGAATATCTGCTCATAGTCAACTTTCAATTATTGAGAAATCATTCTATGGTCTAATATTGTTGTGAAATCGACACTTAGATTTTAGAATAAGTTTCATCTGTAAATCTTT